AAATGAACAGGTACAGGTGATAAACGGGTCCCCCCACAACTGTCAGCTCTGCACAGTGTCAGCACTCTGGCTGCCGGGCACGGCCAGGGACGTCCGGCATCGCTGCCCACACACGGCCGCCGGACAGCATCTGCGGACGCGTCTGCATTGGGCGCTGAGAGGTCATCCCCACCCCGCGCTTTCCGGCTGGAGGACCAAGGTGTGGCACACAAGAGCAAAGCGGTCTCCCACACCTCCGAGCGGGGGCTCACTCACCCCGCCCCCTCTCCGGAGAAGGGCACACGGCTGGTCGTCATCGAGGGCTGGCGGGCTGTCTGGAAAGCAGACCCAGAGTGAGTGCGGCGAGCACGCCCAGGACCCCGGGCGACCACAGGAACTGGCAGTGAGTTTGCGTCACCTTCCCCGTGGTGCCCGTCACGTCCTTGCTCAAACTGCCGGGAGGTGGCGACAGCGGGAAGTGGCCTCTCTCTTCCTCTTGCGTCTGGGAAGGGCTTCACCGGCCTGGAAGCCACAGAGCTGCTCAGAGAAGGGAGCCGCCAGCGCTGGTGCCTGTTTCTAAACAGCTGCGTGGGGGGGGGCGGGGGGCTGCCGTGGGGGTGCTGGCTTAGTGTTTGCACTTGCTGGCTTCTGTGGCGGATGCCAGGTGAAGTCACGCTGTGAGGACACTGGCGGCTAACGGCCATCACGCAGCGCCCACAGCCAGCCACGCTGTCCTCCCTTCGCCACGGACCACAGCAGGGCCGGGACCGTGGGGGGCGCACCCCCTCCCATCCCCCGCCCAGGCGGCCGAGTTCCCGAAGCTCCTTCAACCTCCGAACCCGTGGCACAGGGGCTGCTCCCACGGGCCAAAGTGTGTTCCCGAGCTCCCCACCGAACCCAGCTCGGCTGACTCGGCCCACAGGGGCTGCTGCTCAGGCCGCTCATGCCGGGGGCCCCCAGAAGCCTGCCGGTTGAAAGTGAACCCCGATTCAAGAGAGAAAGCCGGAATCGTGGAGGATCTGAATCTCCCTTTGGGCCTCGCTGTGACCTTTCCCAGGGACCGGGGAAGCTTTTCCCTGGGCGGGCAGAGGTGGGGCCTCGCGAGACCCACGCGCTGGGCTGCTGTCAGATGCACAATGTCCTTCCCACCCCACCTCCATCCCTCTGGTTTTCCTTCCGCTTGGTCCTTGTGGGCGCCAAAAGGGCCGAGCCTGGCCCAGGCTAGCTCTCTGCCCGAGCTTCCATCTTCCCGTCCATGCCCCGGCAAGCCTGGCATCACTGCTGTGCCACCAGCGAGGCAGGAGCTGGCTGCTGCTGGGGCCTGAGGGCGCAGAACACAAGCCCCGTTTTCCCCCAAGCTCTGGCCTGAAGCTCTGGCTATGGAAGTGTTTCTGCGGCCCCAGAGCTGCCCAAGGGCGCTGCAGGAGCCTCGCAGGGCACCTATCCAGCC